AGAAGATACTATTTGTATCTTCCCAACTCTCGTTTATTGTGACAGAAAAATCTCATCTGTAAATAGGGGGTGTATAAATGATCTCTAATGAGTATTCCTCCATGGGAGTATGTAGTATCTGTGTATGTGCTCTTGTCTCCTGAGATGGTGAGCTACGGAGGGCTTAGTCTAGTACAGAGAGCAGCACATAGGAAGCACCTTAGGATTTTTTTTTTCTTTAATAGGATTAAGGTCCCTTTCAGCTCTGTGTTCTAAGTAACTTGCTTAAATTACCAAGTGAATTCAGTGCCAGAATTGGAAGTGAAGTGCTGGTCTTCCGACTCACAAGGCAAATGGTCTTCCATAGGTTCTTCTGCCTGGGTGATTTTTTATTTTGATTTTGTGGAGTGTTTGAGTACCAGTACTGTCAAATGTGGAAAGGAGGCCTGCAGAGAGTGGGGAAAAGGGGGAGATAAAATTAAGGTAAGACAGGAATTGTCAAGAAAGTCATTTGTAATGCTGCGGTTCTTGGGGATTATTCATAGGAAGGGAGCATCCATCCATTTCCTGGGGAAGTTGGGATGGGGAGTAGAAAATGATTTAGGTGAGAGAATTCGGTAAGTAGATTGCATTGGGCAGAAAACTAAGTCTGGATCCAGATATTCCACTGGGGTGAATGACCATGTCAACCTACATGTAATAGAGAGTTCAATAAAAGATAATTAAGAACATAAAGCAATGAAAGAAAAGCACAAGGTAATTAACCCAGCACTCCTCTCAGTTCTTGGTACTGTGTAGCTAGGTGTAGGTCCTGCTTCATTTCTCTTTATTTTTCTTTCTAATAATTAGCTAATTTCTAACTAGCTATAGAACTTTGGAGTGTAATATTTTTCTTGATGCTTGTAAAATGCATTAAAATTATGTGTAAAACATTATGATTATCTACTATGTTGTTTATTCTCTACCACCTTGTTTTTTTGAGGGAGTCTTACTCTGTTGCCCAGGTTGGAGTGCAGTGGCACAATCTTGGCTCATTGCAACCTCCACCTCCTAGGTTCAAGTGATTCTCATGCCTCAGCCACCCAGGTGGCTGGGATTACGGGCGTGTAGCCCCACGCTCAGCTAATTTTTTGTATTTTTAGTAGAGTTGAGGTTTTGCCATGTTTGCCAGGATGGTCTCAAACTCCTGTACTCAAGTGATCTACCTGCCTTGGCCTCCCAAATTGCTGGGATTACAGGCATGAGCCACCATGCCTGGCCAGCACTTTGTATTTTTTCAAGAGCTTTTTACTCTACTGATAGACAGATACAGGCACTAAGAATATTTATGGTTTGATTTATTTTATTATGATTTGAATTTTCTCATGATCATTCTTCCTATTAAATTAATCAATTATAGATTGTGCAGAAAAGTTCTTGGAGTTATATTTTTATCCTGTGAGATATTCACATTATTGTTACCATGAGAGAATTTCCACTTGTGTAGATGTTCTCTGTTTTGAAGTGAAAAATATTCTCAGGAATGAATCTGCATCAAGAGTGGTTAGGAAAGTTTTCAAGTACCCTTGAAATAAACTTCAAAAGAAGACTTAGGCTTGTGGTAGAAATTTCATTTCCATTTTAGACTTTAGTCATAGACACTTGAAACTCTTGTGCCTAGTATGTTATCTCTAGCTTGATAAGTTTTAGTGTTGAAGAAGCTTATGTTTAGAGAAAATCCAGAGGTGGCATATTAGGTGGCATTAGTTTCTAAATCTGAGAGCTTGATGTTCCTGTCTTAGGCTTAGTTTTTTTTTGTTTGTTTGTTTGTTTGTTTTTGAGATGGAGTCTTGGCTCTGTCGCCCTGGCTGGAGTGCAGTGGCACGATCTCAGCAACCTCTGCCACCCAGGTTCAAGTGATTCTCCTGTCTCACCCTCCCAATTAGCAGGATTGCAGGCTCATGCCACCACATGTGGCTAATTTTGTATTTTCAGTAGAGACAGGGTTTCACTGTGTTGGTCAGGTTGGTGTCAAACTTCTGACCTCAGGTGATCCACCTGCCTCAGCCTCCCAAAGTGCTGAGATTACAGGTTTGAGCCACTGTGACCAGCCTTTGGCTTAGTTTTGACTTGTGGTGTCAGGACTGCAGGAGATGGTTCTAGGGATCGGCAGCAACAGACTTTGCACCTCCACATTTTATACCTAGCAAGAAGGGAAAACATGTTTATTTTTACCAAGTAGTTATGTATTACTGATTTCTGAAAAGCATGGGTTTGAAGCTTTTGTTTGCCTGCTTGCTTATAAAGTGCTTCATCTCTAGATTGGAGGTGTCAGGAGGGCAGGGCCTATCTCTCTGGAGTTCGCTAATTACTCCCAATACCTTGCACATGGTAACTGGTACAGAATGAGTCCTCAGAAAAATGCTTTTTGACTGAATGAATGCTTTATGTTGCTTTAGCATATATTATTTGTAGTGTAATTTTTATGGTACCCTTATGAGGTTAGTTGGACAAAGTATTATTTTTAGATGAGAGACAGATTCAGAGAGACTAACAGGCCTTACTCAAGGGGAATTAATGATAGAGCCTGAATCTTAAGCTTAGGTTTTTTCACTTTAACTTTTTTTTCCCTCTGTCAGACTATTTGTTTCTTTCCTCTGGGTCTAAGGCAGGCGTCCCCAAACTTTTTACACAGGGGGCCAGTTCACTGTCCCTAAGACCGTTGGAGGGCCGCCACATGCTGTGCTCCTCTCACTGACCACCAATGAAAGAGGTGCCCCTTCCTGAAGTGCGGCGGGTGGCGGGGAGGGGGCGGATAAATGGCCTCAGGGGGCCGCATCCGTAGTTTGGGGACGCCTGGTCTAAGGCAATCTTAGAGGGAAGTGGGGATTAGAAGGAGGAGGAAGATGTGACCATCCATCAGAAACCCTTCAAGAGGGAAGGAGCAGAATATTCTGTTAAAAACAGGGACCCTGTAGGCAGACTGCTTAAGTTCTAATCTTAGCTCTGCTACTCGCTGGCTCTGTGACCTGGGGCAAGTAAGTCTTTCTAATTTTTCTCTGCCTCCACTTCTTATCTGTGAAATGGAAGTGATAGTAGTATTGTACTCAAAGGATTATTATGAGGAATAAATCAAAAGAGTTAATATTTGCTAAGTGCTTAGAACAGTATCTAGCACATCATGTATTATAGAAGATTTGTTAAATAGGAAGAATATGGATGATTATCACACTAATAGAATTTAGAAAGTTATAAATTGGTAACACGTAAACTTCTGATGGTAAGAAGTTACTAGGATGTTTTCTGTATTTTTGCTGGGTTGCCACAGACTTTTGCTTCCATTTTAAACTTCCATTTTCCAGCTGCAATTTATTGTCCTCTTCTGGTGCCACTCTCTACTCATCTTTATTTAAAATAAAAAAAACCCCACAAATTTTCAAGAAATCTCATTGATGAATTACTATCTTTTTACCAAGAACCTGATTATAGCCCACACTTTCCCATATTCAAATCACACAGCCAAGATATATGTGTACTGTGAGAATTTGGCATTTTTTTTACAGTCTGTAAATTTGCATAGTTCTCTTATTATGTGCTTTTTAATATGTTTTCTTAATAGTAATGGCTATATATTTTGAAAAGCTTATATGTATGAGCAGAGCTCATAATATGCTTTACAAACATCATCTCATTTAATTCTTAAACGGAAACACTTGGTGGATAGACATGGCCCTATTGAGAAATGGAAGTTGAGAGAGGGAAACTTCTCCAAAGTGATGTACCAGGCTGAAGGTGGAGCCAGTGTTTAATCTCTGACTCTTCAAGCTCTTAACATCTTTCTGTAGCCTCTTGTCTTTCCATGGAGAGTGTCAGTTTTAGAATGTTAGTACCTGGAAGGTAGGTTCCAGATCTGTGAAGCATAATTTACATAGAGGACTTCTGAGTCCCAGGCACAATTGGTACTTAATAAATGTAATGTTGGTGGGGGAGGGGATTTAGTAATAACCATAATACTGATTTTCATGACAGACTATCAGTTTTCATTTTTAAAAATTCTCAAGTGAAGAAAAAATATATCTTCCTTTAAACAAGCTTGTTTTATAAGCTAGATTAATTGATTCAGCATATTCATGTATGACTTAACAGCTATGCTATATTGGAACCTTTCTCTTTCTGTTGTTTTATCAGATATCTGACCTGTTTGCAGTCCAGATGGCAGCCACAGGTCATCTTACATGCTATTTTTTTTGAGATGGAGTTTCACTTTTGTTACCCAGACTGGAGTGCAATGGCGCGATCTCGGCTCACTGCAACCTCCGCCTCCTGGGTTCAGGCAATTCTCCTGCCTCAGCCTCCTGAGTAGCTGGGATTACAGGCACGCGCCACCATGCCCAGCTAATTTTTTGTCTTTTTAGTAGAGACGGGGTTTCACCATGTTGACCAGGATGGTCTCGATCTCTTGACCTCGTGATCCACCCGCCTCGGCCTCCCAAAGTGCTGGGATTACAGGCTTGAGCCACCGTGCCCGGCCCTACATGCTATTTTAATTTAGTAGACATTAAAGTTACTAATAGAATGAACTCAGCAGAGCTGATTTATTTGTCCTATTATATGCCTTTTCTAGTTTTACTAACTTTTGAAAATAACGTTAGTCTCAAGCACTTTGTGGTTGTAATACTAATATTAAATTTAAACTCTGAACAGTGTTCTGTTTTGTTTTGTTTTGTTTTGTTTTGTTGTGAATAGGGACAGGGTCTTCCCATGTTGCCCAGGCTGCTCTGAAACTCCTGGGCTCAAGCAGTCTGCTTGCCTCGGCCTCCCAAAGTTCTGGGATTACAGGCCTGAGCCACTGCACCTGGCCTCTGAATGGTGTCTTAATCCTCATAGATGTTCTGTATTTTCTATCCTCATAAACTTGCCTGTGCTGTTCTTAAATGCAGATGCTAGAGTAAACTGGAATGCTAGAATTGTATCTTTTTTCGAAAAATATAGAATAATTTAATAGTCACTAACCTTGAGTTTTTTTCTATTTTTAACTGTAGTACCAGAAGAAAACATTGCAACTATGAAGTATGGAGCCCAGGTTGTAAAGGGGGAGTTGAAATCAGCCTTATTAGATGGTGATACTCAAAATTATGATTTGGATCATGGATTTTCGAGGCACCCAATTGATGATGATTGCCGTTCCGGCATTGAGATTAAGCTAGGTCAGCCATCCATTATCAATCACATACGGATACTCCTGTGGGACCGAGATAGCCGGTAAGTGATTAGCATGATTTAGAGAAAAACTGACATTACATTTGACTGAGATGACCTAACTTTGTGGTCATCTACTTTGGTTTTACAGATATGATGGTTTATTTCTTTGTGATCATTCTGCTATCTCTTGAAGGTTAGTTTTGGGGAAAGAGTTAAAGAGTATATTTCTTTAAAATAAATATGCTTTTTTAATTATTGTAAAAATAATATGTGTTTATTTTAGAAACCATAGAAAATATAGAAAAGCACATAGAAGAAAATAAAAATTGCTAGTAATCTCATTACCCATTATCTTCATATGTATCTACCTAGTGTTTTTTTTTAGTTATGCGTGGACGTACACACAAAGCAGAAACCTGCACATAGTTTTATAAAATGAAGATTAGACATACAAAAAGTGAATTTTACTTTTGAATTAATACATTGTAAACATTCTACCCTTTAAAAAATTCCTCTAAAATGTATTTTTAATAGTTATTTGTTATTCTACCATGGGTTAACATTATTTACTTGATTCATTACTTTTGGCTATTATAACCTTTTAAGTGCATTTTACCCTGTTCACCGTAGGGTAAACATTGTCTTTAGTGTATAGGTAAACATCGTCTTTAGTGTATAGATAAGTATTATCCTCAAAACAAAAGAAATTTGTGAAAAATTTCAGTGAACTCCAGTTTGGGAACCCGCTCAGTTTCTCAGGGGCTTCAGGATTCTGCCTTTCTTCCAGCCACCGTGATGCTTCCACCCACTGTGGCCTGTGGGTTCATCCTTAGTGGCAGAAGTACCAGAGCAGTATGGATGACAAGGACTGAACTGTTTTCCGCATTGCATTGCTGTTTATCATAAACCTAAACCCTGCATACCCAGAAACCGTGTCCCACATATACCTCTTTAGATCTGGGCATGAAAGGCTTAAACAGTAATCTTGATGATGCCCTGAAAACCTTACGATACGGTAGTGTGTTTCTTCTGTTAGCACCACTGCCACCATACTGGCCTTTTGGGCCATTTGAGCCAAGTATGAGGGGAAGCGTTATGAAGTGTGAATCAGCATTTCCCATGTGCATAGGTGTGTGAGATCCCCAGGTTATCTTTTTCTGTTTCCTTTTTATTAAAAATATATTTTCTGATATGTATCTTATTGGATATAATTTGATGTTTTTAATTGGCAAAATGGAGCCAATCCACATATCTCATTTCCAAGAGTCTCTGATAAATAACTACATAATCATAATACATATATTGCAATACTTTCATTACGTATTATGTGGTAGACACTGTTCTAAAAGCTTTACATATTTCACTCATTTAATAGTGAAATTATTATAAAAATATTAAAAGTTTAGTATGTTTGAAACAAAGTGGTTGTCATCATTTCTGTGACGTTAAATATTTATAGGCCACTTTGTTTTAGTATGTGCGTTACATTCACGGGGGATTTAACTTTACGACCTAACTGTTCTTTCCTTACACAAGTTGTTATCATTCTAAGCAAAGGTGAAAAATTCAGAATCTGAAGCCAAAAAGATTCTGACGTGTTGTAAAATTATATCCTGCATTACTGATAACCCAGAGAGGTTCAATAAAAGGTTATAACCAGTTTGAGACAGAGCAATAAAATGAATGGGAGTGAGGGGACAGCAAAGAAAATGAGGGGATGGCACAAAATAAGCTGACCTTTTCTGGTCACAACTTTTGGTTGCAGGCTGACATTTATGGTTACCTAAATCTTCCAAGATTGTTCCTGTTGATATTACAGTACAAGTAATAACTGCATCTCAAATTTAAATTTGGCTTATGACGGGGGAATATAGATTTGCTCAGGATGGGACCTGCATGTAATGGCTCCGAGTAGCTGACTAGGGGAGGATGATAGGCTGTTTTCATTGCTGCCAGATTATCAGCTGGCAAGTTTTAAGTTGTACCCACGCATTATCTCTTGATCGGTGTCATTTATGTTTTTTGTTTTGTTTTGTTTTGTTTTTTTTGCAGGTAGCTTGTATGTGTGGGAGGGTAGGAGACTGGGAGGTAGCAGGAGATAAGCTGCCCTCTGTTGGGGAACCATTCCAAGTTGGCTTTCTTCCTTAGGGGGGTGGCTGAACACCGTGGCCAGGGAAGGTAGAGAGAGAAGTTATACCTCCTGCTTCTCTACTTTCTGTTCTTTCTCTCTCTCGTGGCTTCATTAATCTTCAAATATGGTATAGGTGAGGCATCCTGACCATGTTTGAAAAGGAGTAAATATCTTGCCTGACTGATGTGCCAGGCATTGTGCGGGACCCTGGGGATATGAATATAAATACAGTATGGCCTTTGTTCTTAAGCAGCTTATGATTTGAGAAGGCAGACAGACAACCTGAGAGATAATTTCAGTACATTGTAGGTAAAGGCTGTAATAACATTCTCTTGTTATTAGAATTTGATTATGTAGAAAACGTAATTAGTGATTCTGTATTTTTTGTACCTTTTAACATTTTATTTTGTTAACCACTAACCTAGAGAAAAACCAGGTAATCAGAACATGCACACTGGCATTCAAAAGTCTCCTCCGGTCCTGGCCATTGCCAGGGAAGACTCCAGAAATATGTATCATGGCCTTTATAAGAAGAATGCAGCCTCTAACAATAATTCTGCTTTCAGTGTATCGCAATGAATATTAACATTCGCTATGTAGCCCAGAGTTTAAAAAGCATTCCAATTCTCAAATGTTCCCTGTCCCTTGTCATTCATTCAGTATAGCTTTGTATTGTTATTTTAATGTGGTATTTTTTTTTTTTTTTTCTGCTTTCTCCTTTTGATTCACAGGTCTTATTCATACTTCATTGAAGTGTCAATGGATGAACTTGATTGGGTCAGAGTGATAGATCATTCACAATATCTGTGTCGTTCTTGGCAGAAATTATATTTTCCAGCCCGTGTCTGCAGGTTAGTTCTCAGTGGTTAATACATGATTTTTATTTTTATATAAGGAGATTTGGACTTTGAGAGGTAGAACTGCATTTTTCATCTTGAAAGAAGAGTTTTTCAGGATGTCAACTAATAAACATATCCTAAGTAAAAAAAACTTAAGAAAGTATGGAAAATGATGCATCTTAGTATTTACAGTGTGTTGTGGAACTATTTATATAGCATGTCTTGTATGATATATATATATGCATATATATATATGTGTGTGTGTGTGTAGTACACATGTGAATGAATGAGAAGGGACAGGGAACATTTGAGAAGTGGAATGCTTTTTAAATTCTGCTGTACAGTGAATGGTAATATTCATTGTGATACGTTGAAAGCGTAATTATTGTTAGAGGCTGCATTCTTCTTATGAAGGCTGTGAGACATATTTCTGTAGTCTTCCCTGGCAGTGGCCAGGACTGGAGGAGATTTTTGAATGCCAATGTGCATGCTCTGGATATCTGTTTTTTCTCTAGGTTAGTGGTTAACAAATGGGGTTTGACAGAAGAGGTGTTTCAAGTGGGGTTGCATTTGGGACAAATGATGCTTAGCTAGTAGGGCTCTAGGCTCAGACCGTCTCTTCAGCCAGAGCACCTCTGCTTTTATTGTTGTTATGTGTTGTAGCCCTTGGTATGGTTGTCTTTTAAAAGCATCAAAAAGCTACTGTTTTAATATTTCATCTTCTCCCTTTAGGTATAATACATCATTTAAAATTTCTGAAATTGTGTAAAGCCTACACAAATTAGTGAACTTGTTTAGGTGATTAAAGGTCCCGGAAGTTCTGTTGTAGTTTTCTCACTGGAAATTGCCCTTAGATATTCTTTACCTTAAAGTCAAAAGATTAAAGGTAGAAAGTGATTGTTTGCTCAGGTGTGGCAGGAAGATAAGGGAAAGGAAAGGATATGGTGAGTGTAAACCAGGGAGAATGTGGGACTGGCCCCTCACCCAGTGCCCTCCCCACCCTCACCCATGACCCCATCTGATCTCCCACTGTGGCTGATTGGGAGCAGATGGGGAGGCACCACAGCACTTAGTCTCTTGGTCAAAGTTACTGTTACACTTGTGAAACTTATGGTCTAACAGCAAGAGGCTGAATTTTTTCCCTCCACCTAAGAACTTAACAAAATTGTTCCGCCTCTGGTACAGCAAAGAATGTTGCCTACATTTTTTTTTATTATTGGTATGACTGGACACAGTATTGTTATCCAGGGATCCTCTTGTGTGAAAATGAAGAAAATAAATTTCGTTTCCCCAAAGACAGACTAAAGTGTCTCAGGTCTGGCAGGTGCTCTTTTATCAGAGGAGTTTTGAATGGATTAAAATAAGAGGGACAAGAAATTGAGTGAAGATTCCATATCTCAGAGCTGCCTAGGGATACTTCCGGAGTGACAGAGGGATCCCCACGTGGAGAAGGAGATTGAGTCTGCATTGACTTAGGTTATTACCATTGTATCTGATTAAAACACAAGCAGAATAACAAAGTGTCTGATATGGATTGAAGGACTGTGTGTTTGCATTTAATTTGAAGCAACAGGAACATGACTCCTACAACAAATCATCATGAATATAATAACACCAGCCATGACAGTCTATGTGCTTTACCCACCTGAAAGCTCCTTGTATGTATGGAAACATGTGCCTTCGATCATGATCTCTGGCTTTTAGAAAATATACTTTACCTTTATGTATTAGTGAGCATTATGATACTCTTCTTTCCTTATTTTGTCTTTCCTGTATGGCCTTGACTTTGTTGGCATAGCTGTTATGTGTTTAGGGGTTGGCTGTATTCATGATGCTCGTTTTTGTCTTGGTATAGCCAGCTCCCTGTTCTAGTTGGAAAAAGCTGAGCCACGGTGATGTTAAAGATGAAGATGACTAGAAAAGGAAGGAGTCTTGATATCCATGTTAATAGGAATGTTTTAAAAATTATAACCACTTTATTAATTACTATTTTCCTTAGTAAACTACCTTTTTTACTAGATTATAATTTTGATCGTGTTTAAAAATGAACCTAAGAATATGTCTCTATTGATTATCTGAGGATGTCTTGGTGTTTCTTACCTTCACAATTATTTATTGTCTACCTAAACAATGTACTAACTACACTTCTTCCAAGAACTTCGCTGGGCAAATACATTCTTTATTTCCTTAGCACATAAGTGTTCAATTTGCATTATGTTAGTTAATTTGCATGTTTGTATGTCAGCTTTGTTCTTTAGTGTCCTTTGCATATTTATCTTGCCTCTGATACTAAAATTACAAGCTCCTGGAGGCAGGGAGTATGGATTCTAATCTTTCAGTATTCTTGCACAGTGCTCAGACTGTGACCTTGTATGCAGTAGGTACTCGATAAATGTTAGCACAGGTTTCATGGTGCCAAGTCAATGACTGTGCAATGAAGAGAGATTGAGCATTAATATGTACATTATTCATTGGGACTTTTTAATCAATGTATTCATTAATACGTATATGAGTACTGAAAAACTCTCTGTAATAGTAAATGGATCTGAACTGTTTGCAAAGGTTACTTTGTTTTTTACTTCAGGAAACCGAATTTGGAGGTTAATCCTGAAGGATGTTAGTGTCATGTGTTGATGAAAGATTACATCTAATACATTCACAAAAATGATAACTTATGAATGGGAAATCTGAGATTATCCGGTCCTCTCTCTGAGTTAGGCTAAACTGCATGTAAATCAGAATCGTGTAGTAGAAAAACAATGGACTGTGGAGTTAGGTAGAGCTCTTCTCAAATTCTTGTTTAAAACAATAAACTGTGGAGTTAGGTAGAGCTCCTGTCAAATCTTTGTTTCACCTCATCATTTGTGTTACGATAAGATTGTGCCTCTCTGAGCCCCAGTATCTGCATCCGTAAAGAATAGGAGTAGCAACACCTCTTCATGGGGTTTGATGTGAGAGTTAGATGACAGCATATTGACATCTATGGGGCACAGTTCCTGGTAGAAAAGAGGGGCTCAATAAATGGCAGTCATTTTTATTATTATTCCTAATTTTAGAAACTCCTGACTGGTGTTTGACCTTCAAAGAGAGTCATCCCTGCTGTCCTTGTTGGTCATAGTGGCTCTCGTTGTGGGGTGACTCTCACCTCTGGAGCCTAGTCTTTTTGGTACTTTGTATTGCCAATCCATACGTACAATCCCAGACATGCCTTAAACAGTTTTATCTTAACAACCTGCCCATCTTAGTATGTGTCTAGCAGTTTTCATGTATTTTGGTTGGTAAAATATATATAACATAAGATTTGCCATTCATCTATCTTCTGGAATGTAATTCAGTCAGCATTCACCTCACCAAGATAGTCGATGTTATCAAATGGCAGATAACGTCAGGCTTCAAAGCCAGTGTGATCCTGCCAGCCATGGTAATGAACGCAGGGAAATGGTCTGCTTCGCCTTTCTGGACTGTTTAGGAATGTTTGTGGGTTAAGTGGGGATTGCTGTATGTAGCCAGAAGCTTAGACCAGTTACCCGCTTCAGCCTTTAACTGGTGATGGAGAAAAGGGACTCATCAATTCATGTTCAATCTTTCATATGCTTTGAGAACCATGTTATGTCTTATCAGTCTTTTCTTTCTCAGGAAAGGCAATTTCCACTTTACCCATAATCTGTAACCATCAAATTGCCTTCTTGGCTATTGGTAAACTCTCTCTCAGTCCTTTCCACAGCTTTCTTAGATGATCGAGCCTAGTACTCAAAAGAAAACACTAGTGAGGAATGGTGACTATCGAGTACCCTGTGGGTGCTTTTAACATTTGGAGCTATTCCTCAACATGGTGTTGTAATTTGCAGCCATGCAATATTGCTGAAAAATGAGAAAACTTGAAAACATGAATGTGAATGGATAGAAGTAGAATTCAAAGTGTGCATGTGACTGGTGGCTGAAATTGCAGGTGGGATCTTGGTCTAAAACCTGGGAGTTGGGAGAGAAGAAAGCGGGACTGAAAGCAAAGTTCTCAAGGTTATGTCTATTGAGAGAGGGAAGAAGAGAGTAAGTGGGAGAGGTATTTACCTCAGGGGCTGGTCAGAGATTAGAGGAGGAGTAGGAGCATTGTTTACTGGAGAAAAGGCCAGACAGGATGTTGAGATGGGTGTAAATTGACCATTTGGAGCATGGCATCAGAGAGATGAACTTGGTCAATACAAAACTGGGTTTCTTTATTTCCTTTTTAAAAAAATTATCAAAATGGAAATATCTCTCATTATAAAGTTATAATGTGGTATATATTTTAAATATTTATAAAAGTTGCCCTCTGGAAATGTTGTACCCAATTTTTATCAATTGCATGTAAAAATGCCCCTGTCTGTGAACCTTCACCAGTGCAGACACTGTCACCATTTTACCAATGTAATATATAATTTGTTTAAAACAAAAGTCCTGTTTTACTTTGAATTTCTTTATTGGTGAGTTGAAGTATCTTTTAATACTGGCCATTTGTTTATTTGTTATTTATGAAAAGCCTATTTTTGTCTTCTGCATAGTTTTCTTCTGAGATAGTTATCTTTTTCTTTTTGTCTTGTGAGAACTTTGTATCAATACATATATATGGCATTATCCTTTTGCTTGTCATATGTGAAATTTGTTATGCATTTTTAGTGTTTTATTGGTACTTTTTGCTATGTAAAATTTTACTTTTTAAAAAATGTATTCAAATCTGTCATCTTTTTAATGATTTCTGGCTTGGTATGATTAGAAGATTATTCCTCACTCTAATATTAAAGAATGTTAAATATATGTATATTTTTCCACTACTTATTTTTTTTAAAGCTTTATATCTAAGTATTTAATACAGTCAGGATATTTTGTATATATCTTTTCAGGTAAGGATAATCAGTTGACTAAAATCATTTATTTAATAATCATTCTTTTTATCCTGAGGTGATCATCCATATTTATCATGAGCTGGATTCTAGTGTGTATTTTACTTAGTTCTGCTAATTTCTTTGATTCTTCCT